ATAATGACATATTATAGAGATAATAATTACATTCTAAAAATATTCAAACCGCTAGAATGTAAAAGGGGCAACACGAAATTCTAAAACATTAATTATTTTCGCAAGATTATCTTCAGATTACGTCCGTTCCGGTAACGTCGAGGTATTGTCGGTTAAAAAAGAAAAAACTTCGTTACGTCTAACCACAATTAGGTAGGAAGCTCTATATAAGTTAAATAACCGTTAAATACGTGTGTGGTATAGTAAAAGGATTGTGAAATTAACCAACCGTTTATTGCATCAACTTATGTACGCTAATGTTCCTTGTAAACGAAACCTTAAAAAGGTGGCAAGGTAAGGTATAATCTTTAAAACTGCCTCTGTGGCCGAACAGTTACCATGCCGGACTGCCACGCAGAGTTCCCAGGTTCGATTCCCGGGCCGGGAGAAATATTTATATGGCCTACATTTATTTCTCTCATGAGTTTGGGCGTAATTTGTGGTTGTCTATGTGTGTGTCTATGGTACGCGACACAGGGTTTCCCTAATGCGGGGCTATGTTGAGTGTGTGCGTTATTATTATTATAGTAGTATGATATATTTTAATATTTAATTTTACTAGCAGTAGAGCTCCTTGTGAAAGAGTTCGTCCAGGGAAATACTGCCACGTTACCTATCTACTGTCAAGCAGTAATCTGAGCATTACTGCATTCCGGTTTTAAAGGGTAAGAATGCAAGTAAAATTACAGGCACATGGGAAATGTTAATCATATCTCAGGGTTATGGACACTGTAGTGCCCCTCAAATCTCTGCGATGTAAAGGTCTGAGTGTCTCTCATCACCAGGCGCATGACTTGTTCATCCCGTCGCTTTATATCATAAAAAAATTCGAATGTATTTAGGAAATGAAACGATTTTATCGGGTCTAAATCTCGTATATTGTTTTTTGAAACAAACCTACCTTTCGGACCCTTTACAGGTCCCATGATCACGGTTGACTGAGATGATAAAGTCATAATTTTAAGCTATAGTTATAAAGTATATTATAATAAAAGCTCTAATATGAAACATACGCCGAATTATGAAAAAATTCATGCAGACAAAAGAAGCCAATATACATACTGCATTTAATTGATTTAGGTTTGCAAATGTTGTTAATACCAGGTAACAGGCTGACTGAGGCAAATCAGATGCATAAGTATAGCAGCTTTTTTTTTTCAAAGTGTATATGTAAAGAGCAATAAGGTTTTGCCATCACTTTCATTTCAGATTTTGTTTTTTATAATACCAAGTGACGGGACGAACAAGTCGTGGTAAGCGACACGCCAATCCATAGCGATTATGGTGCCACTCAGATCTTTAAATCGCAAAGATCTGAGCGGCACTGCCACTGTCCCTTCACCCTTAGACATAAGTTCAAGTCCTCTCTACTTGTAATTTCACCAGCACCGTTACTCTTGAAAACCGAAACGCAGTAATGCTCACATTACTGCTTGGCGGCAGAAATAGGTAAATAAGGTATAGTAGTTTGAAAGTAACTAAATAATTAAGTATTACATTGCATATTAAAGTTAACTTTACATTCAGATATATTGCATGCCAAGAAATCACTGTTAATATATTTTTTCAAAATTTCAAGTATTATGCCTGTGATCATAAATTTTATTAAAAGAAAAATGTACATGAAATTTACATATTATTCATAAAGAAGCACAGATATGCAGCATCAATAAAAGCAAATGGATTTCGTAACACGTAATACTTCGTAATACCACAGGTAATATGGTACGTGGGTATTTGTACTTTATTATTTTAAATTCTCGGTTTAAGACTCTTTTAAGTCCTGGGATTAAATCAAGGAGATTATTTTTATTCCTTATTCACAATTTGTTTCTAGGCAATATGTTTTATGGGTCATTTTGTAAAGTCGTTTTAAAAATTTTTTTACGAAAATGTAAACAAACTGGTCATTAACCTGGTCATAGACGGTTTAGTGATTGCTAATTTAAATCAATTAATTAAATGGTTCGACTTCATTAACTTAATCAGTTGGCAATACAATTTTTTTTCGCTGCTGATTACCAACAAAAAATAAGTCATTCGTTACTGAGTGATAGTATACATTGATGATTGACAGGATTAGAAAATTATAATCTGTACGGGTTGTAGTGAATTCCGCACGTAAAAACCGTCATGAAGATAGGTGGTAAAAGGTAAAGTTCATGGAAAACGTTTAGCGGAGTATGAAACGTAAATTTTATAGTTTAAAGTTAAAATCGGTGTAAAAACAATAAAATATGTCTGTTAAAGACAGTTATTCCTCTTTCTTCATCTATTCGTTATCCTTTCTTCATTATGAACGTGACAGAAATACATAAATATTTAAAAAAAAATTAAATGCACATTTATTAAGTAAAAGGCCTTATGAAAGACTCGACATAGTTAATATTGTTGTTTTCTATGAGAATAGAGTAACCTACTTACGGCAACTCTGTATCTATCGTCGAGTTCATCTTTACGTAAAGACGGTAGTTAATGCAATTTTGGCAACTTCTAACTTAAAATAAAATGTCTGCCTCGTAATTATAAGACTTATATATGTAAATGTCTATTTGAATTCCATTGCGTTTGAAATAAGTCGGATTGTTAGAGAATGTTACATTCAAGTGTATTTATCATTGGAGTTTTTATAAAGGATGCAAATAATATACATTTCATTAACATGACGTGTTTATTACATACATAATGTACGCCCGTAAAACTGTAACAAGTGTAAATTTTTTGTACATTTCGCATATAATTGTAACTTTGTTAAGGCGGTTCATCTTTAAGAAACACATTTTTTTACGACATCAAATAACGGGACGAACAAACCGTGCGTCTGGCGGTAAGCAGCACGCCTGTTCAGCAGTTCCAGTGCCACCCAGAGCTTGAAATTTTTGTTTTTAAATATATCAAGTGACGGGATGAACAAGTCGTAAACTACACGCCTGAACATAACAGTTGCCGTGCCATTCAGAGCTTTAAATCACAAAGATCTGAGGGGCACTGTCGCTGCTCTCATCACCTTGAGACATAAGTTGACAAATCCCATCTGCCAAGAAATTCCACTTGCACAAAACTGAAATATATCTTAAACCAATGCTTAAATTGGTAATACGCTTTTAACATAATGTTTTAAGAGTATCCTTTGAATTGCAAGCACTGGTTAAGACGTACTTAAGTATAGTGCAAATGGGCATAAGAGTGTTCTTGAGAAGAATAGAATAAAGAGTCGGGAAAAACCCAAACGAGAACAGAAAAATTACACTTTTTTATATAATCAGTACCCGTAAAACTGATAACTGTAATAGATTGCTGTTACTTATAGTATGAATGTAGAGTATATCTTATGTTCCTGTCACATCTAATTTCCAAGGTAACTGCCGAATTCTTTATTTTACGCATATTAATAAAAGAAAACTTAATTGATGAAATCTGATGATTTAATATTTAAAATAAATTAACATGTGGAATGATTTATTGCGTATTATACCCTACTCGTGTAAACGGACACCACAATATTGGCTCGTTTTCAAAACAGAGTGTTAAGAAATTTCGATTATATATTTATAGTAAGACTAAGCATCAATCGTAGAAAAATATCGACTAAATTTTAAACAATCAGTAAGCTACAATGACCTCACTGGTAATTGACCGTGTAGGCAAGGGATTGAAATTTCGCAATATGAACATTATCGCTGTTTTATTTTACTTATTTTTACTGCAAATTATACAACATATGTTCAATTTCCACCGAAGAGTCTAACACCGTTGAGTTTTGACCTCAACGTGACGATTTTGTTTTCATTTCCTGCACATTTGTACAGGTCGAAGGATGCTTACAAAATTTTTGAAGACGTATGAACATTCCAACTCGTATTGGGCCACCAGTGTGAGCCCTTTTTATAGCACCCTCCTCTCCAGCAGTCAGAAGTATAATAAAATAAATAATAATAATAGTGCTAAACAACCGCATCAATTAGCTGGTCTCAAAATATGAAATTTCCTATACTATGAGTACCAGAACAACGAAATTAACTTCGAAACTAACAGAACACCCGCGGACTAATATAGAACAATCCTCTCACTAATTGGTCCAAACGGAAATCAAACTCGGGATCCTAACATATAACACCCACAGTGTGCTTTGGGACATCGAGGAGGTCAAATATAACTATAATTTAACTTTTCAGGATTATTTCTTAGAATAACACTGAATCATTGAATTTGTTGCTTCTCTTATTCTAACCAAAGATCGATAATTGCTTTCCCAAAAAATTTACTCCTACTTTTTTTACACCATGTATGGACTACAGCTCCACGGAGTCGGAGTCTACAGTAAAATTATTTTTTCGTTATTGAAATTCAAATGTTAAGTCTTTAGTAATTGCTGAGACGATCACGCGATCCTGCCATTGTCATGGCACAGAATAGTCAAAAAAATGTGCAATTACGACAGTGCGATGTTAAGGAAATGAACTACTGGGCTATTTTTACTGTACAAATTTAAATAAACAAGAGATTGTAGCAGCATCTGAGATACAAATATTAGTTACGCATTGCGATTTTGAATACAATTTTTTTTTTAATTTTTGTAGAGAAAGGTGTAATAACACCTTCTCATTGAGATAAATTGTATTTTTTTTAATGACTGAGATTTATCATACTGTTACATAGTTAATAAGGCGTTTCAATTTCGTTTGTTTAGACATGGATTAAATCTTCCTAATTTTACAGCTCACGCGTTATGGCGTTGAAAATTAAATAAGTTGTCTACAGAAACTGTGTAATTAATTGCTCACAACATTATACAGCATGTTCTTAATAAATTTAAAATGTACATCTTTTCCCTGCACTCCCAACGTCAACATAGTTATTTTTTTTAAATAACATTCCTCCTATCATAAATTTTACAAAATACATACATGCTTAAAGACGACTATTCAAAACACATAAATAGAAAACAAAACACAACGCACCCCTCAATTAGTAATCACCTCGAACACAGTGGATAATTATCAGTTCACTCGCGAATAATCGCACACCTTAGGATCACTGCGCGTGCTAGACTCGCTAGCGAATGTGTCTTCCTTTCGACGCGCGAGCATCAACTGTTCGTCTGAAGCGCGCGCAGCTTCAAGCGTTGATAACCGATAGCCGCCGACTGGAGTATGTATAGTGAACTTGCTTATGGGAACCCGTTATATTAAATTTTAATTATTATGTAATACATATATGTATATATATGTGCTATAAAACTTTTTTACATCTCGAGACCGTTTGTAAAGATAAAAAGATATTTCTGATGACTTTTGTATGTTACAGTCCGCCTTAAGGTAGTTTTGTAACTTTTTAAGTTATTATTATTTCTTAGTTTTGTTTATTATTTACAAACATAATTATGAAGACATCGCAATAAAATTGTATTCGCTTGCACGTAATTCTTGTGACACTATCATTAAGCGGGCTCCTGTTCGACTTTACTCTGTCTGTTAATGGAAACAAGAAATGCTTTTATGTAAATTATAAAAATATATTTTAATATGCAACTTCTCTTATAGTCTTATTTGTAAATATTACGAAGATGATGCCATAGAGAGTTATTTTTAGTATTCGTGAATATAAATAAATATTTTTTTTATCAGATATAATAGGTATCACTTTTACTTGCAGTTCTATATTCTTACCCGACTGCGGGAGGATTATGTTTTTCAAGTGTATGTATGTATGTCCATTTCTTTTTCACGCTATACAGCCTAAACGGCTTGATGGATTTAGACATATGACATGCATAGATATAGGAATGTCATTAGATTCATCATGATTGTGGGAGTGTCATAGGCTATAAAAATAATCAAAATAGTGAGGGGAATTTTTTTAAATAATTTCCGGTTAACATTTATTTTTCGCCATTTTTCAATTTGGCTGCCTTACAATTTTTTTTAGCGGTTGATAAAATGTTGCTCTAATTCTACTGAAAGTCGCCATGAGGGGTTCTCTATGGGTGTTTAATAATAGTTTGCAGTCAAAATTTACTTTTTGCCATTTACCAATATGACCGCCATTAAAGAGCTATGTTCATTTTTTTAAAGTCATAGTGCTGAGGCCATAGGCCGAGATCTAGCGGAGGGCGATGCCCGAAGCATCCGCATGCCACCTTACGAAAACCTTAAAAAAAAGGTAGTATACGGGGACTAAATTTCACAATTGTTCAAAATGTAAGGCATAGTTCCCGATGTAGTGGAAATAATATCTTATTTACTTATACAACTTATGGTGTTGTTATATCTCGACTGTCTCACTGTTAGACTCTTTTTTATTGGAAGCTATGCCAAAAAGAGAAGTATTTAGGGATATAATGCCAGACAATCACTTCAAATTTCTGGTCTCAAACTAGGGGATTTCCTGTACTATGAGTACCAGAGTAACGATAATTCTGAAGGCAATACCCAGAATACCCTGACCAGGACCAACTTAAAAATGTTTTTTTCATAAATTGGCTCAAATAAGGGATCGAATCTGGAACCTCCTCATCAAGCGCCCATAGTACTAATCACTGTGCCACCGAAGAGAATAATGCACACCCCGTAATCTGAAAGGGACCACGCGCCGCAGGCCGAGCCCGACTCCACCGTAGGTGAGGTATAGGGCTCGTATACAATATAAATACGAGAAGCAGCGACATATTTTTATATTTCTATTATACAGGGTGTCACACGGCTATGCCACAATGTAAGAAATGTTCCTGAGCAAAATTTCAAATTAAATGTTAAATTTCATGATCTTCATAAAGTATGTAAGATACTATGTTACTTAGAACAAAATTATCCTTATGATTGAGGCTTTCGATCAATAAAGTAAAATTGCAGGTGTTTTTTTTTATACATTTGGCGGGTTCGATACTCTTTTTTTTTTTTTTTTTTTATTGCGACTCGGCAAAATGACTGCACCGCGCCTGATGGAAAGTGCGAATACAGTCCAGAGATGAGAGTAACGGATGGAAAACACAAATATCTTCACTCCGTCACTATCATTTTGCCGATCTGGCCAAATGATTCTTCACACTACGTTTGAAGGACCCGATGTTATAGAGGGGAGGGAATACATGCGCCGGGAGTCGGTTCCACAATTTGATAGTTCGGCATAAAAACGAATTGCCAAACTTTTTAGTGCGGGACGGTATTGAACTGACCGTCCAACTGTGGCACCGCAGTCCGGCACGGGTGGTCCGTTGATGGAAAGGAGAGGAAGGTATAAGGTTGAATAACTCTTCAGAGCACTCACCGTGGTACAGGCGATAGAATACGCTAAGAGACGCCATATCTCTGCGAAGCTGTAACGACTCCGCATGCTCAGTTACATGAGGATCGTTGACAACACGGAAGGCGTAGCGCTGCAGTCCATCTAGGGCATCGAGCAAGTACTTGGCAGAGCCGTCCCAAAGGTGCGAACAGTACTCCATGCTGCTTCGGACGTGAGCTTTATACAACAGGTATCGCAGCTCTAGAGTAAAAAATCGGTGCACCTTGTTCAGGATGCCAAGCTTGCGCGATGCGGTACAGATGACGCTCTCGATATAATCTTTGTTGCTCATGTCCTTCCGGATGCTCATTCCCAGTAGGCTGAGCTTGTCCTGCAGCGTCAGCATTGTACCCTGAAGATAGGGAAGTGGAAGGAATGGGGATGTTTTGGAGCTGAACGCGCATACCTGGGTTTTCTTGGCGTTGAACTCAACCAAGTTTCGGGAGCCCCACGACGATATATGTTCCAAAACATGGTTGAGCTCAGCGACAAGTTTTTTCCGGTTTCTCTCAGGGTCCTCCCGGCTGCTTGACGATTGCTTATAATAGCAACCGTGCACTGTGCTATCATCTGCATAGCAATGAATGTTGCCTAGAGGCAACAAGTCATTGATATGCAGAAGGAACAGCGTGTGTGACAGCACGGAGCCCTGTGGCACCCCAGCATTAACTGTCACGAGCCGCGAAGTGCCTTCGTCAACAAGGACACGCAATCTTCGCTCGCGCAGAAAGCCGGAGATCCACTCACAAAGGCGGCCGGGAAGACCATATGCCGGAAGCTTGGAGAGGAGACCACGGTGCCAGACCCGATCAAAGGCCTTAGCAATATCCAGACTTATCGCTAAGGTTTCGCCCTGTTTGTCGATAGCTTCACCCCAGAGATGCATTAGATACGCTAGAACGTTCGGAACTCGGTTGAGACAGGCAATTATTTAAAAATCTTTGAACGCATTTCGAATTTGTTTTTAAAATAAAAATGAAATATCTTTCACTAATTGGTTCTACCTACGGTATTTAACCCAGTTGTAGTTGTTACTGAAACGTAAAAATCTTTTCAATTTCTTTTATTTTCTGAATACTGTCCGATTATACTATAAAAGTCATGAGAAAAATAATGAGAAAATTCGAGAAGTTTTGGAAAAGCCGGAAAATGGTGTTCTTTTTAAAGAACAGTAGTAATTTGAGCTACTATTACTGAGAATATGAATATGCTTACTCTTACACTAAAATTGTTATTGGATTGAATGAAAAACGATTGACTGTATATTTTTTATTAGAAATAAAATAAAAGATTAACTTTCATTCTATAAAAACAAAAAACATTATCCCCCTGTGTAGACATTTGAAAACAGTCGTTAGTAATTTTACACTTTGTACAAAGAATTTGGTATTTACACACACACACACATACACACACATTTATATCAGTAATTTACAGTTCGTTATGAACTCTGTTTTTATTGTACCAATTGAAATTTATTTTTCTACCCAATGTTGTAACCATAAGTTTAACCTACACTTTATTCATTCAATTTTCTTGATATGTAGGCATTGACTTACAAATATGTAGGTATATTTTTAACAGATGTACTTATAATAACGCCTAAACGAAAAAAAATACATGAAAAAGGTTTAGCATTAACTATTATCTAATGAAAAATCAAGGATGTCGAATTTTTTTGTAATAAAATATTGTGTAAAGAATATTCGTCGCGTCCCACTCTGTAGAAAGATGAAAAACATAGTGCTAACTGTTTCTATTGAGAACGAACCCAGTAAATTACTTCTTATGGCTTGAGTACCAATTTGTAATAGCTTATCAGTATTAAAAAAAAGAAAAAGCAGTTTGATTCTACAATGCAACGAGTGTGTTTAAAAGATCGTGCTTGCACATGTGATGTTAATCATAACTACTACTACTAAGTGACTTCGTGTTACGATTAGTTTCTAGGCTATAAAGTCTATACGCAAGGTATTGTAATTATTGAATTTATTTATGTGATAGAACACGTAGAAATTGAGTTGAAAGTACATAGGTCCAGATTACTTAGGTACAGAATATGCTGAAACAAGGGAATTTTATTCGATTTTTTCTTAAAAAAAGTTTTTTTTTATAATATAAAGTGAAGGGACGAACAAGTCATGCGCCTGATGGTAAGCTACATGCCTGTCCATAACAGTTGCAGTGCCCCTTAGAGCTTTAAATCGCAAAGATCTGAAAGGCACGCCACTGCGCCCGTTACACGGCACATGGGACTTGTCAACATAAGTTGACACGTCCTATGTGCCTGTAATTGCACCAGCACCCTTCTATACCGGAACGCAGTAATGCTAACATTTCTGCTTGGCGGCAGAAATAGGTAAGGTGGGGCAGTACTTCCCCGGACGAACTCTTTCACACGAAGCTCTACTGGTCTTAAATTCCTTTTCCATATAATTCCTGTTTCATAGTTCTGTTTATAATTCCAGTTTCAGTAACACAGAACACACTTTTTTGTCTGCATACTACGAATTATCACTTAGCAGAGCTGTGTCTCATCACCTATAGTTTTATTTACAAAGTAACGAGACGAATAAGTCTTGCGCCTGGTGATAAGCGACACGCCTGTCCATAGCAGTTGTAGTGCCACTCAGTGTTTTAAATCGCAAAGATATGAGGGGCACTGCCACTGCGCCTACCACCCTGAAACATTTAATAAGTTAACATGTTGGACATGGCACGTGGATGTGCCTGTAATTTTACCAACCCTCCCCTTCAAAACCTGAACACACTAAT